TTAAAAAAAAAAAAAAAAAAAAAAAAGACTCTTTCAAATCATAACTCTATAAACAAATCCTAAGATACCAAAGTAGTCGAACTGGTAGATAACACATTCTATTCTAATTGCAAGAATGATTGTCTGTTCTTTCCTGAGGTTCAAAATTGGGGTGTACAAAGCACATGATCTCTTGTCTGTGCAGAGCAGCTACCAAATATAAACAAATAGTGGGCGTATTGGGGATAAGCTCAGCTGGGAGACTGCTAGCCTAGCATGGTGAAGCCTCGAAGTGGACCCTCAGCACTGAAACAGAAACCTAGGAGTAACATCGCAAACATGTAATTCTGGTAATCAGGAGGCAAGAACCCAAGTTCAAGGTCACCCTCAACTACACAGGAAGTTCCAGGCCAGTCTGTACTACATGAAGAAATTTCTTACTGTAAGTTATCAGAACTGTAATTCTACAAGACTCCAATTGTAATCTTACTGCTCAGAATGTATTTGTTGTTGGGGCACGGCAGTGCACAACTTCCATCCTAGCACTTGGGAGGCAGAGGCCAGCCATAGTTACATAAGAGACTCTCTCAAAAAAGGCAGAACTAAAAAAAAAACCAATGTAGTCAAGTAATTTGAAAACACAAGTTCACACCATCTGCAAACTAAACACATGTATAACCCATCACCCAACTTCTCACTAATCCCTGGAACCTCAACTATTATTTCCAATCTTCCAATCAGGAAACAGCATTTCTATTGTTTCTATTATTTTGCTGTCATTATTTCAATGACAAAAATCTGAGCTGTCATTAAAAGCTAACCTGGGTGACTTTATTTTAAGTTGCAGCATTCCATTTTGCAACACTGTCTTAAGACAAAGAAAAACCCAAATGAAACTTATTCAGAACAGTAGTTATGTATTCTGTCCTGCAAATGCTTTCAAGACCCATTGTTCATCTGTTCAAAAACATATTTATTGAAAAATGAACCCCATGGCAAGTACTATATATAAATATTATAGAGATGAACATGTTTCCAGATGGTAGAACAAATGTTAACACTGCTCTATGTTCCAATCTACTTTAGCACTGAAGAACTGAAAGCAGTTTACTCTAACTCCCTAGCCATGAACGGGGTTTCACATCTGAAAGTCTCTTGAGTTCATGGCATCTTTCTAAGCTCCCCCAGGGGTAGCTCTTTGTAAACACATTGCCTATTGACACAGTAGGCATCCAAGTTAGCTAAATTAACAGTATTCCTAACATGAGTCAAGACCATATAGCATCCTTACCACCCTAGCTACAGGACCTACACGAAGACGAAATTCTGAGATAAGCTCCTACACTGCATTAAGAGATTTTTAAAACCTCAAAGGAGTACTTTCTTGGGAGAGAATGGCTGGCAGCCCAGGGAAATCTTTACATTTTAGCTTGGTGAGTTCACCAACATTTAGGGATAGCCCCTCAATTTAAAAACTACTTTATTTACAGAGTAGGCAGTTTTCCCACAAGTAGATTCACAATCTCTAAAAGTGATGTATTACCAAGAAGCCAAGTTATGACCTTTCTGTAAGAAAAACACAGGCCAGGGACTGGGTTTTGTTTTTTTCCAGTAGGCAGACACTCTACAGGCACTTTACCTAGAACAAACTACAACCAGGATGACACGGACATTTTTAACTACCAGTGGAAAAGTGTTGTGCTCTTAATGGTAATAAGCAGAAACATTTTTTATTTTATTTTTTGGAGTCAGGGTCTCTCTCTACACTGCTCTGGCTGTCCTGGAACTAACTTTGGGGCTGGCCTCAAACTCAGATTTGCCTGCTTCTGCCTCCAGAGGGCTGGGATTAATGGGATTAAAAATGTGGCTCAGAGGCAGGGCGTTAGTGGGGCACGCCTTTAATCCCAATACACCGGAGGCAGAGGCAGGAGGATCTCTGTGAGTTCGAGGCCAGCCTGGTCTCCAGAGCGAGTACCGGGACAACCTCCAAAGCTACACAGAGAAACCCTGTCCCAAAAAAACAAACAAACAAAAACCAAAAAGAGTAACAGCCAGAAGGGACAAGGTTATGGAAGGCAGCAGTTTTCAGGAGCTTCTGTTGTTTAGATTTTATGACTCCCCAGTTGTTTTTTGTTAGTTTTAACTGACAACCTGGTCTCCACAGTGATTTCCAGGTCAGCCAGGGGGGTACGCGGGAGACTCAACACAAAACAAAAATCGCCCTTGTGAACATCCGCTCGACGCGGCCCTCCTGCCCTCCTGCCCTCCTCTCCCCGGCCCTCCTCTCCTCTCCTCTCCTCTCCTCCCCGGGAAGGACGGGAAGGAGGGGAAGGACGGGAAGAACGGGAAGGACAGGCCGACTAAGGCGGGAGCCTCACCGAGTTCACCGCGTCCTGCAGCTGCGTGAGGCGATCCGCCATGTTCCCGCGTACGCAGCGACGCCGAAGCTCCCCGCTCAGCGGCGATTGGGTAATTTATGGCGGCTCTGGGCCAATCACAGGGCTCCCTTCCAGGGGGCGTGGCCAAGGACGCACGCTGCGGCGGAGGGCGGGGCTATCCCGCGGCTCACCGGGGCCGGGGAGGCGGGCGGAGCGGGCGGATCCGGGGAGGCGGGGGTGGGGGGCGGGGGCGGGG